CATGCTTCACTGTGGGTATGGTGTTGTTTTGGTGATGTGCAGTGTTATTGCGGCAAACATATCTTTTGGAATTATGGACAAAAAGTTCAACCTTGCTTTGATCAGAACACATTTTCCCACATGCTTTTGGGAGACTTCTGATGTGTTTTTGCAAGATTTAGCCGGGCTTGGATGTTTTTCTTTGTAAGAAAAGGCTTCAGTCTTGCCACTCTACCCCATAGCCCAGACATATGAAGAATACTGGACATTGTGGTCACATGTACCACACATCCAGTACTTGCCAGATATTACTGCAACTCCTTTAATGTTCCGGTAAAACTCTTAGCAGCCTCCCAGACCAGTTTTCTTCTCATCTTTTCATCAATTTTGGAGGGGCATCCAGTTCTTGGTAACGTCACTGTTACGCCATATTTTCTCCATTTTTGATGACTGTCTTCACTGTGTTCCATGATATATCTAATGCCTTGGAATTTCTTTTGTACCCTTCTCCTGACTCATACCTTTTAACAGTGAGATCCCTCTGATACTTTGGAAGCTCTCTGCGGACCATGGCTTTTGCTGTAGGATGCTTTCAGGAAAGACCTACTAGAACAGCTGAAGGTTATTTGGGGTTAATCAGAGGCACTTTAAATGATAGCCGGTGTGTACTGACACTTATTTAACCACTTGCCTACAGGGCACTTATACCCCCTTTTTGCCCAGGCCAATTTTCAGCTTTCAGCGCTGTGTTGCACTTTGAATGACAATTGCGTGGTCATGCAACACTGTAACCATATGAAATTTTTATCATTTTTTTCACACAAATAGAGCTTTCTTTTGGTTGTATTTAATCGCCACTGGGTGTTTGTTTATTTTTGCTCTATAAACAAAAAAAAGCAATTTTGCAAACAGGTAATTTTTCTCCTTCACTGAGGTGCATTGATGTGTGTTGATGAGGCTGCACTGATAGGCAGCACTGATGATGCTGCACTGAAAGGCGGAACTAATGGGCAGCACTGATCATCAATGCCGTTCACTTCACTGACAATTGCCGGTTATCGGCAGTACTTTCCTCATGCTGTGACAGCGTGAGGAAAGTGCAGCCAACAACTGGCAACTGTATTTACCCGGTGATTTGCTGTGTCATTGGACACAGCTGATCTCGTGGTAAAAGGCCGCTGTGATTGGCTGTTTACCGTATCATGTAATCAGCTGTGTCCTACGGACACAGCGATCACCAATGTTGCTGGGTGCGCACTGCTAGGAGCGCGCAGGGGGTGTGTTCTGGAATGACGTCCATGGACGTTGTCCGAGAACTAGACAACCATGCTGTAGCCGTCTTTCAGCTGCAGCATGGTAGGGAAGAGGTTAACATGATTTTAAATGTGATTGCTTAATTCTGAACACCGCTACATCCCCAGTTATAAGAGGGTCTGCACACTTAGGCAACCACATTATTTTAGTTTATTTATGTTTACTTCCCCCCTAAAAGATTTCAGTTTGTTTTTCACTGGAGTTGTACAGTTTATAGGTCACATTAAAGGTGCAAAAAGTTCTGAAATTATTTATCTTTGTTTTTTTTACTTCACAGAAACTTGACATTTTAACAGGGGTGTGTAGACTTTTTATATCCACTATATATATCTGTACAGATGCCAAACTTATCTGGTTTCTATTAAAGAACGGATATACTTTTGCAGATGGGACATTTACTTTGTTTTCAGCTTCCCTACAATTGTAAATTAAGCTCATATAGGGCCTATTTTTTATTTATTTATTTTTCTTAATAAAAAGAGAATTTGTCCAGACCAGATACTTTGTTTCATTTTCCAGTGAGTAAATCATGAACTACGACTGGTGAACACATGGATAACTTTTTTTTTCTTACTTTTTTTTTTTTAGCCACCATAATGTTCATTGGAAACTGTTTGACTGAAGTCTGAGGGGAAAATAGTCTAAAAAAAAAATGTGTTGCCCATACAATGAGATCCTTTTCACTTACCCATACCACCAAGTGAAATTCTGAATAGTTGAGGTGAGGTCCACTTGCATGTTTGAGGGACACTAAAGCAGTAATAAATGCAAAACTAAAAATGTAATATATTGCAGCTTACCAATCATTAGATTTGGTGGCTGCATTATGTTTCTTTTTTTTCCCCTCCTCTGTTTTCTCCTCCTAACCTGGCCAGTAATACATCTTCTGTATTAGCGTGTCCCCACTTTGGATGAAGGAGCAACAGAATCACTAAAAAAGCTGAAGCTGAACTACAGCAAACAGGTTATAAGCAATTGCAGCAACAGTGTATTTCCCTTAGGGATAAAGGTTTTAAAGCAGACCTTTGTATGAACTCCTGTTAGAGGGTTGAGACAAACCATTTAACACTAACTGCTACACCTGCATACCATGTCTTTGAGTGAACAACAGACTTACTTACTGGCCAGATCACCAAGTGAAAATGGAAGAAAGAAAGCCTAAAAAAGAAAACTAGAGCAGCCATCACATCTAAAATTTGGTAAGCTGCAATATAATAAATATTTGCTTTTGGGTTGAATACCACATTGAAGATATATAGGCGCTATCACTGCTAACCTTCTTTCAAAAAATGCCAACTGTGTGGATGTCTCTGGCTTTAATGAATTTAGGGGATCAGCATGATAGACAAGCATTTTCAGTGGGACCTCAAAAGAGAAACAGATAATTATATTCAAGTCTAGTACACACGAATGTCGGGCGGCATCGGCCGGTTCAATAGAAATTGCCCATCATTTGGCCAGTGTTTATGGCGGTCGGCTTCTGTCGAAGGGGCATGACCGAAAAAGGTCTTCTAATCGGCTCCTGATTGCCGCTCTCGGAACGCTTACAAGAGTGTTCTGGCAGAGTGTTCTGTAAGAACACAAAAAAGCACAGTGGGGGAGATTGCTATACTAACATTGAATAGTTCATACAGCAGCTCCTCCTGCGCTGCTAGTTTTTTCGTTCTGGGTTGAACGAAAAAACAAAACAAAAAACCTAGTGGTACGTACTAGGCCTTAATGCATCCCCACGGTCTTTACATAAGAAAACAAATGCTTAAGGGACTAAAGAAAAAAAAAAAAAAACATGGCTAGACTAGATACAGATGTGCAAATATGGCAGAAGGTGAAAAAAAACAAAAACAGATGAATCTCTACCAAGCAGTCACAGAGGTAGGAAGGAGACACACTTTTTTGCAGACTATTATTAAATGAAGTAAGGCGTTTCATATATGCTTTGTGAATGAGGAAGTCCCTTTCATTATGAAGATTTCTCAACTTATCAATCACAAACTGTGGTTACTGTAGCCAAAGAGAATCTTTCAAGAATGAGCCTGTACATTTAAATATTAGAAAGGAATAATGGTTATTGCCAAAACAACAGAGTGTAGATTCAAGAGCACCAGAAACACATTTTCTAACACCAGTGAGCAATGCTGCTTTACTTACCCAAGCGGTATGTTCTTTCAAGTAACATCCTTTGTACTCTATTGTGTTGGGATGTTTCAGCTGTTGAAGAAATTTCACTTCCTTGACTATATCCTGCCATTTCTGTTTAAATACAAGACATAACAGTAATTAAAGTGTTCCTAAACCCAGGACCCTGCATTCACTATATCTGGTCTCCCACAGTACACAAAACATAGAAATGCAATTATTGTAGTAAACACAAACTGCTAAATAGCTTTTCCCATCAGCAGTATATAGCAGTCTTGTGACTTCTATCAGTATCCAGCTGAACACTGGTTAAAGCTCCTAGAAGATAAATAATGTTGTCCTATGTGTCCATGTACACTACTTTAAGCCATTAGTGTTTTGTAGAGTTTTTCCAGCAAAAAAAAAAATGCTGAATGTTACTAAAATGCTCCTAACAGCTTTTTTTCTAGCTATTTTTCTGCATATACTGTAAAAATGCTAATACAACGCTAATGCTACTAAAAAATGCTATTACCAGGGTTTTTTTACATAGCATTTATTTTTGCTTAAAAAGAAAAAAAAAACGCTAGTGTGCATGGAGCCTTAAGCTTGTAGGAGGAGTTTTCATTTTGTTTGACCATCCTATGAGGCTGCATGACCCAGTACTTTCTGTCTGGACAGTGCTGATTGGCCCTGTGCTGATCATATGCACCCTCCCAAAGAAAAGAAAAAAAAACTCTCCAGTCATACACACTAAACTGTGCAGAGTGACTCCTAGAGCTCTGTACTATCAGCCGATGGATTGAGGACAGTAGAAGGGGAGGATCAGAAAAGACAGGATCAAACAACCTTTTTACACAATGTGGAGGAATCAGCCCTTGGGTTCCACAGTGAGTAGAACAAGCATGATTTACTGCATATACAGACTGATTTTACAGTTATGACTTTAGATATATTACAGTACTTTTTAACCCCTTCACGCCCGAGGGTAAAACAACTCTAAATGTCGAAGCACAATTCTGCAACGTTGAGATGTGATAGTAAAACCGTACATATCACCACAACTACTTTGTACATCCAGGTGGATTATACCTTGATTTTTTTCAGGACAAATTGGGCTTTTATTAGGTGGTAAATGGTAATGGATAGCTCCGGATTTTTTCTTTTATTTATCAAAGGAAAACTGGCCCAAAATAGTAAAAAAAAATCTTTTTTTTTATTTAGCTGTGTGTTTCTTGTTATGACCATAACCTACCACCAAAGAACAACCCAAAATAAATTCTCCAGTTTTTGACCATCGCAATGATACCATATCTGTGCATGTTATCTGTTTGTACCCGTAGTACAGCCCAGAAACAATAGCGCACATTTTTTTTTTGTCTTTTATTTTTACCTAAAACACACTGACAGTGACATGAACACTAACTGACACGGATACCATTTTTTAAAAAAAAAAATCCTGACCTTTGACCCAAACACTAACCCTGGCACTGAACTACATCAAACCTTGATCTACTGTATTTTTCGCTCCATAAGACGTACCTGACCATAAGACGCGCCTAGGTTTTAGAGGAGAAAAACAAGAAAAAAAAATATTCTGAACCAATGGACTGCAGACACCATACAGGGGATGACCAGAGACTGCGGACATAGGACAGGAGATGACCAGAGACTGCGTAGTCTCTGATCATCTCCTGTACTGTGTTCGCAGTCTCTGGTCATCTCCTGTACTGTGTTCGCAGTCTCTGATCATCTCCTGTACTGTGTTCGGACAGTACAGGAGATGATCAGAGACTGCGGACAGTACAGGAGATGACCAGAGACTGCAGACAGTACAGGAGATGACCAGAGACTGCAGACATTGTACAGATGACCAGAGACTGTGGACATTGTACAGATGACCAGAGACTGTGGACATTGTACAGATGACCAGAGACTGTGGACATAGTACAGATGACCAGAAACTGCAGATAGTGCAGGGGATGACCAGAGACTGCAGACAGTAAAGGAGATAACCAGAGACTGCGGACCTTTGGGGAGGGAGGGGGAAATGATACCTGAATTTGACAGGTACCCGCTCCCACTTCCGCAGAGTTGTCCTTCCTTCTTCCCGTGCCGGCTTCTGTGACAGGCGGGTGCCCACTGCGCATGCACGAGAAGCGCTGCGCTTTGTAAATGGCCCGGAGCCTTCTGGGACCTGTCATGTGTCCCAGAAGACACCGGACCATTCACAAAGCGCAGCGCTTCTTGCGCATGCGCAGTGGGCACCCGGCTGTCACAGAAGCCGCCGCGGGAAGACTGCAGCACTGGAGCGAGGAACAGGTAAGGTCCTGCAAGAGAGAAGAGCTGAGCGGCCCGCCCGATATTCTGACATGGTGGCGGCAGAAATACCGGACCGGCCGCTTTACATTCGCTCCATAAGATGCACTGACATTGTGCGTCTTATGGAGCGAAAAATACGGTAGGTATTTTTCTTTATTTTTTATTTTTTTTTAATATTTATTTATCTTCTTTTTTTTTTAAACATTTTTTTTTCTCTCTATGCCAGGAGTTAGAGAGATACAATGTATCTCTCTTCTCCATTCACAGAGAGAGAAAAAACAAGGGGGCCGGGCTGCACAGTGACTGATCACTGTGATAGCCAGTCAGAGCCTATCACAGTGATCATGTGACCCGGAATCAGGAGTCCCGAGTCCTGATCGTTAGAATGGGACCCGGGGCTCTCAGTAACACCGCGGTCTCTGTGCTGGGAGCGCGCCGAGCGGCACACTCCCAGCACAAAGACAGGTACGCAAATATGCAGCCCCAGGGAAAAAAGCCCAGTTCCGTGAGGCCGCATATTTGTGTGACGTCGGTGTCAAGGGGTTAAGCATGTTCAACAACTGACATAATCACTTACTGAGTATGCAGCTTCTTTATCTTTTAATCTTTGGCTATGCTCCAGGTTTGCGGTTTTAGGGTGGATTCTTTTTCTTACAGTAGCCTGTGGAGCAACTCTTGGATGCAGGGACTAAAGTTTTGTCTCCCTACACAGTGTCCATCAATAGAAACACACAAATCTCATAGCACTGCTAAAGTGTTCGTAAACCTCAGCCATGTGTACTTGTCTCAGTCCAGAGCATTAAGTGCCATTTCTGTTTGCGGCCTCGTTCTGGTTAGTCACTTCTGACATGTTTTACTGTCACCAAGAGAAAAAGGTGACAGAGGAGGTAGCTCCAGCACACAGCCTCAGCTTTGTTCATGTGTGCTGTGTGAAGGGGGGAGGGGTGTGTCCCTTTCCTCCAAATCAGCTACATACTGAGCTCTGCAGAGTATAACTTCAGCTCCCCACTCAAAGCTCAGACAAGCTGTATAAATTCTGGACTTTGGATGTAGAGCAGAGATGGCTGCAGATAAGTAGGTATAACTGATGTAGAAAGATTTGTTTCATCTCTTTGTATCACCTGAGGCTAGTCACTTCACTGGGTATATGTAAAGGTTTACAACCACTCTTTCCTGTGAAGACAGGAAGTTTAGGGAAGCAGGAGCCAGTAGCATTGAAAGTTGTTAACTGCAAGTGCTGGGGTAAGACTTTTTTTAAAAAAAATAGTTTACTGGGAGATATTTTTTTTTTTTTGCTCAACATATTAAACTAAAAAAAACACTCAGGGTTTTAACACTATTTTAATATTACTCTTTTACACTCCTTTAATGAACTTATGCAATTGCATGCATCTACACACACTTCACTCCAAACAGGTCTTACAGAATCTGCATAACATTGCAAAGTGTCATTTAAGTACTTTCTTGGCACAGAGGTTAGAGCTTGCATCCAGTGATATCTGCTGGCAATTTTGGGTACTGCAATACCACTAAAACTACAGTGGCTCTGTATTATTATACAGGATTTATATAGCGCCAACAGTTTGCTCAGCGCGTTACAATATAACGGGAGACAATACAGTAACAATACAAGAGGGATTTGAGGGCCCTGCTCCTTGGAGCTAACAATCTAGGAGGCTCTATATGAGAACTACCATATTTCCCCATTCTCTTGTCTGAACCCAGCCTACCAAACAGTCTAACAGAAAGATAGGATCCCAATGTCATATACAAGGGGCCGTAGGAGATGGGGGACCACTCTCTGCATCTAACACTTTTGCTACCGCCAACACCCAGAACGAACATGTGTTTTTCATTTTCAGGCATTAAACATTCCAATGGCCATAAGATGTTATTTTAACTTTTTAAAATGTACAAATCAATCTTATAAGTGTACATGGAAATCAAACATTTCCATACTGGAAAAAAAACAAACTTTTCCCCTTAGGTGGCTAGCTCATGTGCAGTTACTTCCTACTCTATAGTTTAAACTTTTTTCATCCAAAAAGTGATAGAATTACAGATACCAGACAGCAGTCTTCTGCCTAGTTCCACGAGGGGAGCCCGGGATACATACCTATTGTAGCAGATTAACTTCTTACCTCATTCATCTGTTTCCCACTATAGGACATCTTCTTAATAGCAACCACTTCATTATTTGTAGAGTTTGTGGCCTACATGAAACAAAAAAAGATGTTAGAAATGACCATTTTCTCCTGAGCTTGTCCTGAAATATCTACCATACATGACCATGCTCTTCCTTGCAGTAACCTTTACAGTAGCTTTGGGAGTTTGCAAATCTCTTCTAGTAACATCAAAACACAAACGGCACATACACCTCCTTTTCCATGCTAATCCACAACTAGCTTTCATCTGGCTTATTTACTGGTCAAAAGTGCTTAGGTCTCAACTCGATCCATGTAGCAGACCTGGGGATCTTGAGAGAGGAGGGGAGATCTGTTGCATAGACCAAGTTGATATCTAAGCGCATTTGACCTGTTAATATACTAGGCCAACGTATGGTAAATGAGCTTGCTGAGAGCTTGTTGTGGATTGGCATACAGGAGAAATACATGCTGCCGAGTTGGCAGTCATCGCTCAAACATTACATTTTTGTTTTTCATATGAAATGGGTATATGACTGTTTGAAGCCTTAGATCTTTAGTAATTTTATATCATGAAGCTTGATTTCATCACAACTTACTTTCTTAGATAGAAATCACCGATACTCTGTTATCACCAGCCTGGTGCTACTTGTATTGTAAGAAGCAACAACCTGTGCTACAATCTTTGCGAGTTGACTTTTACAGCCAAATCACCTTAAAAGAAAAGCCACAAATGCAAGTTCAGCTGAATGGTAGTGCACTTATCAAACTAAAAAAAATAAATTTTTAATCAGCAAATAAAAAATGTAGCGATAATAGTATTTTGATTTTGTTTTTGTGAATTGGGTAAACAATCATCAATGTTATTTGTAGAACTTTGAGCTCCTCAAGATTTTCAGGAGAGAGTCTTTATTCCTCCCTTTCTACTCACTGTTATGCCTCCTATACAGGAAGTTATTAAAAACACCTCAAAAAGCCAGTTTTGCCCAGTGAAACACGTTGGAGTAGATTTACTAAATCTAGTGCACTCAGAATTTGGTGCAGCTGTGCATAGTAGCCAGCTTCTTCAATTAAGCTCTGGAAATATAACCTGGAACCTGACTGGTTTCTATGCAGAGTTGCACCAGATTTTGCACTCTCCAGGTTTAGTAAATAACCCCCATTGCATATGTATTCTCTGCAGCATTTAGGAACCCCTTGTGTCCTTCATATGAGCTGCTGTCAGCTGGATTCTGATACCAGCACTCTGCTATACCTTATTTAGGTAGCAGTGATCAGACCCAAAGATTTCTACAGGCACAATCACTTCCATTCAATCTAAGGCCAGGTCAGAAGCTGCAGGTAGTGGGTAACCTGTGGGGAGAGCAGAGACTTCTTTGCAGTGTTCCCAGTGAACGGAACACAATAGAGGCAGATCTATCAGATTCTGCAAGGAATACTTGTTTTAAGACCAAATTCATTGTTTTGTTGCTACAAAGTAGAGTTATTTATTCATATTAAAAAGAAAAACGCTCTACAAACTGGCAATGTATATTAAAGTGTTCTTACAAAGTATACTGCTCCAAAGCTGCCATGTCCAATTTCATGCAGATCTACAAATATTCTCTCTGGATCCTCCTTGCAAAAAAGATCCGCTATATCAGGGTCCTTCAAGAGGCCCTTCCGCATTCTGGATGGGATAGTAACTTCAGTCATTCTTACAGTCCCTGGCTTGTTTCATGCTACATGGAATGTATGTCTGGCTTGAAGGCCGGTTGCTGAAACAAAGAGAAAACATGCTCTGTTATGATATACAAGCATACTGTGAACCTATCATTTTTTCACTGAAAATAAAAGGATTTTTTGTATCTCTATAAAAGGGTGAGGTCAGCATCCAAAGTGCTGACCTTTATTTAACAACATGACGCAAAGACCAATGTGCAACTGCATAAAGAAATATTGCGCCCCCAGGGTGTCTGCTGCAGACTTACAAGATGACCGTATCAAATGCTCCTGGGCCAGTTTGGTGTCCAAGCCAGATTCCTTTCTACAGGACTGGATTTTTGTACTCACTGTAAAATATTTTTCTCGGAGTTCAATAAGGGACAGGGGCTCAGCAGAATTCAGGAACACTGCGTTATATTGTGGACTTTAGAAACAAATGGACATTGCCAAACAAAAAAAAGCTAGTGGCCAGCTAAGTATATCTCCTCCCACTCCCATGATGCTTCAGCTACTAGAAAAGCAGTACTGTGTGTAGATTATAAAAACACAGAAGGGTGGGACCTATGTCTCTCCTTGAATTCCAACAAAAAGGTTTTATGGTGGAGTACAAAAATCCTGTTTACTTAATCAAAGGGCATGAAGTCAAAATGAATTCACGAACACTGGGACATCCCAAATCAGTCCAGTTGAAGGGGACAAGGCAACTAACAGCCAAGATAAACAACAGTAAAAGAAACTCCAAAAGATCTGGGGCACAGAGCCTCCCAAAATGAAAGGAATGAGATCCCAGACCAAAAAAGTGGGACTTGATAAAATTGTGCCAGATAAGAGGAATTACAAAATACAACCATATGTAAAACCAATATCGATTCAATTACAAAATAAGATTACAATGCCATCTTCATATTAAATCATAACCATAAGATCCAATAATGCCACATGTTATACTATAACATTATAACAGCATATTATTTATTTCAGGTACTTATATAGCGCCGTCAATTTACGCAGCGCTTTACACATATACTGTATATTGTACATTCACATCAGTCCCTAACCCTCAAGGGGCGTACAATCTAAGGTCCCTAACTTACATTCATACACACACATACTGGGGCCAATTTAGACAGGATCCAATTAACCTACTAGCATGTCTTTGGAGTGTGGGAGGAAACCCACGCAGGCACAGGGAGAACATGCAAACTCCAGACAGGTGGTACCGTGGCTGGGATTCGAACCAACGACCCTAGTACTGCCAGGCGGAAGTGCAAACCATTTAGCCACTGTGCTGCCCATATAGGATCAACAAGTTTCACACAGCTTCTTCAGGATCCATGCTTGATTATACATGGTTATAGATGGATGGTCAAGAACAGTCTGACCTTTGGTGTGGTTACCTTCAGCCCTAACTACCCTTCTTGTTTGTCTGGAAACCTAGTGTACGAATATACATAAGGGTTTTGGAATCTATCTTAAGTAGGGATGTGCAAATCCTAACGCCCGATGCCTGGAACATATAGTTCCGGGCAGGTCATTTTTTTCTTTCACTTAGCCCATTGCGGGCAAGTAGCAGGGCTATCAGTAAACACAGGCAGAACAGCTGCAGCTGTGCACACAGTGTAACACTCGTCCAGCGAGCATACTCCCCTTTCCCCCCTTCCCTCCTGCATGAACAGGAGAGAGGTATCGTTTTGCTCTACCTCTACCTGCCCCTCTCCTCTGTCTGCCCTGCCTGCACTCCAGTGATTGCTTGAAGAAGGGGACTTTGTGTGTGTGGGCGGGAAATTTGAAGATCCATCTGGCTGTACCAATAATGCCGCTGTCTGAGCCTGCAGTGAATGATCTCTGCATTAATGGAGCTCATCTCCCTCCCTTCCCTCCCTGTTCTTCCAGGAGCTTCACACACGTAACTATTGCATGTCCAGTTAGCAACTGAACTGTGATGTCAGGGCGCACTCCGCCATGGTTCGGTGTCATGTCAGGGCGCGGTCCGATGTCATGGCAGGGCGCACTCCGCCATGGTTCGATGTCATGTCAGGGCGCGGTCCGATGTCATGGCAGGGCGCACTCCGCCATGGTTCGGTGTCATGTCAGGGCGCGGTCCGATGTCATGGCAGGGCGCACTCCGCCATGGTTCGGTGTCATGTCAGGCGCGGTCCGATGTCATGGCAGGGCGCACTCCGCCATGGTTCGGTGTCATGTCAGGGCGCACTCCGCCACGGCCCGATGTGAGGGCGCACTCCGCCACGGCCCGATGTGAGGGCGCACTCCAATTTATAGAAGTAATTGCTGGGGACTTTAATGAAAGGGAGGACTCTGATGTGAACATGGTTCTCATCCTGACCACTGCACTCCATATGTGGTTTTGTTTTTTACTTACTCCTGACCCCTGTACTCTATACATTATATTGTACATAGACCTGACTAAGATGCTCATAGTCCCAACAGTTGCTGGTATTAATGAAGTTCTTCTTTAAGGTAGGCTCAGTAAGGCAGTCCATAAATTAGTAGTGATTTTTCATTCAACCAGCAGGTTGAACAAAAAAAGTGATCCAACCCCGATGGACATAGGAGCTTGATTTCTCTGTTCAGCATGTGCTTGTACTGAGTACCCAAGTGCTTCCATGTGCGAGGGTAATTTACTCACTCAGAAGATGCTCCTCTGCTGGACATTAAGAGAGACCGACACTCCCGTTTCCTGATGAGCACCCAATCGTTGATCGTCACACTGCAAGGTCTCTCCCCTCCCTGCTATTCCCAGGGTTCAGTGCTGGAGACAGGCAGGGAGGCGAGTAGGATATAAGCAGTGCAATGTTAAAAATATTAAGTTTAGGTCACCATAAAGCCTTTTTCATTTTTAAAAGCCCCAGACATTCGTAAAAGCAGCTCTGCCTAATAAAAAAAAAAAATAAATCCTTTGTATTTTTGATCCTGGCAAAGCCATTTCAAGGTTTAAAAAGGGACATACATCCATTGAAAATCCCTAGTGATAAAACCGGTCTCATTGAGTAGTATTATAACAAATAAGACCTTATTTAAATACAGTTTTGGTTAAAATTATTATTATTTTTTTTAATTCTACACCCGTTAAGGATATGGATATCTGGTCTTCCGGTTGCCGCAGGAAATGAACGGAATCACAGGGTTCTTAGGATTATGTGCCTTTGGCCACCTAGAACTGATATGCGTTTCTTCCAAACCAGCATGCCCTCTCTTCATGTATACTCAAGTGTGGATGCTGAAGAAGTCCCACTTTTCTGAACTGGGATCTCATTCTGTTCATTTTGGGAGGGTCTGTACCCCAAATCGTTGGTTAGATATTTAGGCGGGATGGTGCCCTAATGAGGAATATTATTATATATTCAGCTCACACATTATTACCCATGATTTAACAGTAGAAACCACTGAGGCTGCCTACAGCTTAGCTAGCTCCTCTTGAAATCATTTTCCCCAATTTTTTTGCAAGCATATTAAAATATTCACTTTTGTCTATAGAAATTACTCAAAACCCTAAGCAATATATATCTTCTGAACGTAGAAGCCTTGCAGAAAAAAAGGTTGGTAGCTGGAATTTTTTTTATGTTGCATGAAATTTGCACAGAGGTTTATTACATCTATATATTTTCAGGAAAAAAATAACCTAAAATTAAATATAATTGCACACAAACACAATATAATCCCCATTAAACAAAAAAAAAAAAAAAAAAGGATGAAGTAGTGTAGAGTAAGACATACCAAATATATCAATTCTCAGAAGTGCATGCACCCAAATGCATGCAATGTTGAAACATTTTGATATCCAAAATTAGGATTAACAGTCAATGCTTTACATGCTCTTATAAATCATGTTTAGAGTAAACCCCAAATGGAAAACCTAAAATTATTTCTCCCACTCCATTTGTGGCGGTATCCACTGCTCACCCATAACATTAAGATCACCGACAGGTAAATGGTACACAATAGCATATGAAATTCACAGATGTAATGGCGACCATGCTGCAATCAGTCAGGGCTGTTTTGTTGGCAAAATGGAGACCTACTCAATATTAGATGGGTCATCATAGCACTATAGCTGATTGGTATATAATGTGTGGCACAACTGCTGTTTACATACATGTGCACACCCTGTGCGTGCGTTTGCATTTTAATTTTGCGTGTGTATGTTTTTTTTTTTTTTACTAAAAAAAAAAATGTACATTCTTTTAACCTTTTTATAACTTAACAAATATTATGTAAAGCACTACCTTGTAAAACAAGGATATATGAACATTCTAAATACCTTTTTCTTTTTTTAATAAGTGATCACATGACCTCTGTTCTCAACTGCATAAGGGGCTTACAGAGCTTGGGGTGGGGACTACAGGGGGGGGGGGGGTAGCAGGAGGCAAAGAAACAGCAGGAGACTGATCTGCTGTACACATACACTAACTTTATTTCTATTAGAAGGGAGTCAACCAGCCCCTTATATGTGTTGGGGAGGTTGGTAAGAAGCCAAGGCTGCTAGGGCCCCTTTCTGCCCTAATCTATATCTGCTAATGGTTGGACTTTTATAACTCAGTAGCTGCAGCACATCACAGCACATCAGTTTTCACATTCAGCCTACTCAGCTTAGCGGATGGACTGACTAATTTCTCTTAGAGATTTCAGTAGCAAGATCTGCTTACTATTGCTAGCTCTGACCTGACAACAGATCCGGGTGGATCTGGTTTGAGCAACTCTAGTTGATAGTAAAAGTCAAATCATTTATTTAATAATGCAAGGCAAGAAATGTACTAAAATCTTGCTAGAGGAGAATGAGCAGAAATTGACCAACCTAAAAAGTGTGTGTGACCTATTTCAATATAGGTCAAAGAAGAAGGTGAGTGTAGAGCACACGTATTGGTGATGGGAAGTATCACGGATAACAGCACACCATGAGCATTGTTGGATTTAGGAAGGATTGTTGTTTATGAACAATGAAACACTTGGTGTGGAGTTTGTTGAGATTTGGTTATTGTGAGTGCATACGCTCATCTTTTTGTTTATCAAAATGGTGCTGTACTACGAAATAGTCTTTTGGTTTTTTTGGAACTACCGTATTTTTCGCTCCATAAGACGCACTTTTTTCCCCCCAAAAAGAGGGGAAAAAATGTCAGTGTGTCTTATGGAGTGAATATAAAGCGGGCGTTCCGGTATTTCCGCCGCCACCATGTCAGAATACCTGGCCGGCCGCTCAGCTGTTCTCAGATGCAGGACCTTACCTGTTCCTCGGTCCAGCGCTGCGCAGTCTTCCCGCGCCGGCATCTGTGACAGCCGGGTGCCCACTGCGCATGCGCAAAAAGCGCTGCGCTTTGTGAATGGTCCGGCGTCTTGTGGGACACATGACAGGTCCCAGAAGATGCCGGGCCATCCACAAAGTGCAGCGCTTCTCGTGCATGCGCAGTGGGTACCCGGCTGTCACAGCCGGGTGCCCAAAGTAAAGGAAGGCCAACTCCGTGGAAGTGGGAGCGGGTACCTGTCAAATTCAGGTACCTGCTCCCCCTCCCTCCCTAAAGGTCCGCAGGCTCTGGTCATCCCCTATACTGTCTGCAGTCTCTGGTCATCCCCTGTACTGTCTGCAGTCTCTGGTCATCCCCTGTACTGCGTCCGCAGTCTCTGGTCATCTCCTGTACTGCGTCCGCAGTCTCTGGTCATCTCCTGTACTGCGTCCGCAGTCTCTGGTCATCCTCTGTACTACATCCGCAGTCTCTGGTCATCTCCTGTACTGTGTCCGCAGTCTCTGGTCATCTTCTGTACTGTGTCCGCAGTCTCTGTACTATGTCTGCAGTCCATTGGTTCAGAATATTTTTTTATTGTTTTTCTCCTCTAAAACCTAGGCGCGTCTTATGGTCAGGTGCGTCTTATGGAGCGAAAAATACGGTATATTGCACGTTTGGAGTCACAAGGAGTGAAGATTTGCTTGGAGGAAACTAGCATGGACAAGTTGCAGCATGAAGGACAACATTTAACAACAAGCGTATTTGACCTTTTTGTTATTATGTACAGTGCCTTGAAAATGTGAAATTTTTCACATTTTGTCATGTTACAACCAAAAACGTAAATGTATTTTATTGGGATGTAATGTTATAGACCAACACAACAAGGCACTGTAGGTCTAATTATAAGGTCAGCAGGGAGAGTATCCACAAGGGAATAATTGTTGTTTGAAGTGGATGCCAGGCACTCTCTATAGCACTATAATTGGACATTTGGTTTGGGAATGGATCACTATCTTTCACAGACTATACAGTAGTTGTGGATTTAGGTTTATGGTTTTTTTATGGGTTTGTATGCCCTTTGAGGAGTTATCGCACCACATAATTCTAGAAGTATCCAATGAGTTTCAGGGGTCCAAATGCCCCCTTCATCAGGGCTTGACTGGAAACAAAGTGAACAGACAAGAAGTGAATTTTACCTACAATGGGCTTTATCCCAGTGTGAATTAAAAGCAAAAGGTCTGATCAGCAGCTTGTTCTTATTCCAGATATTTGTAAACGGAGCTGGGAGGAAAATTGTTGACTGAACAGTTCTTGCATCCACTCAGATGCAGTCACTGTTCAGGAATTCTGGTAGCCAAGGGAGCTGGCTGTCACATTAGAATAGCCAATAGGGGATATTCCTCCATTTACTCTGTATAGTGTGGATGTGGGAACCAAGTGATTTCTTTAGTTTTGGCCAATCCACTGACATGCTGTCAAGAAGCAAGCTGATAAAGGACAAAAGCAGAGCGACAGAGAGATGAACTCATTACTGTGTTGTTCCCTTTTCACTGTCCAGCAACAGGCAAACTCAAAGGAAATGGGTAAAAAGTATGCTGGACATCAGACCAAGAATATTTAATGGCAAAAAAGTGAACTGAAAGTGAGTATTGCAGCAAAGCCTGGTGTAAAGATAATGAAGTCTCACAAAAACAGTGTGGAAAGAATGGAAATCATATTGCACATAGCCCCCCATAATTTCCCCAAAATAAGGATGTTGGTGACAAAATAGGTAATGCATTAGAGTCCAGCCTCAGACACATTGACACAAAGCAGAATGGCTGAAAAGGAATGCAGACACATTAAACCCTACCTAGCTCATGATGTAAGAGAGACATTTATGGGCCTTATCAAATGGTTCTCGTCATAAAACAGTCCATAAGCAAATGCACATCTAAGTCTCTTTTTTGGCTTGAGATCGAACTAATAGAGCTCAACTCTATACGTAATCCATAAATCCTGCTGTGATGGTGTAACATTTATTAAATGTGGTTACACTGAAAAGAAAGAAAAAAACAACATTACATATTCTAAGAGAACATGCATAGGATTCATATCAAATTCATTCAATTCAATCTGTTGACTGTTGAACTGTGAAACTCTGGCATCTGGAAATTAAGATATAAATTAGAATAACTGACATGAAGGGAGTGTCTGCTGAAGCATAATAAAACACTTCAACCCTTCAAACACAGTCTTTAGACCCTCTGATTGGTTGTGTTATGATTATTGTATTAATAAAGACCTGTATAAAGAAGAGTGCATACCTGCAATGCTTTTGGCACAAATCATACTCAGGCTTTCAAAACAGAAGTAAAGGTGGCACAGTTGTAGTCCTCATGCAATGTTCATAAATTAGGCATCTGTAAAAACAATGAAAAACACAATAGTAAAAATCAACACCTAAAAGTTGAGCGGCAGACAAATGTTTTTTTTTTTTTTGAGTAAGGGTATTCTCATTTTGGAGTTCTTTCTATGCTGGTGTTTGCCAGTCACAAGGATATTATGCAGAATATGAGGAACATTTTCTAAGGTCCCTGATTCCAAACCAAGGCAAAATGCGTGATGTGTGTTTGGGTTCCATTCATCATGAATGGCACCCCAAATGCAGCAACATTTTGCCGCGGCAAAGTGCGAGTGTAAATTCGCTCCTAGCTCAGGGCCAAAAATTAGTTCCAGAGTTTCTTTGGAGCGACAATCGCATATAGAGCAGCCCATTCAATTGAATGAGCTGCTCTATGCATGACATATGTTTACACAAGTGAATATAGGTATGTGACATGGTGATGGGGCCTGAAATGGGGATATACACTCACCAGCCACTTTTTAGGTACAATTGCTTGGCAACACAAATTGCTAATCAGCTAATCCCATGGCAGCAACTCAATGCATTTAGACGTGGTGAAGATGACTTGCTGAAGTTCAAACACAGCATCAGAATGGGGAAGAAAGGGGATTTAAGGGATGTTGAACGAGGCATGGTTGGTGGTGCCAGACTAACTGGTCTGAGTATTTCAAAAACTGCTGAGCTACTGGGAGATTTATACGCACAACCATCGCTGTGTGTAATTTAAAGAGAATGGTCCAAAACAAGAGAAAAAAAAACAGTGCGCAGCAGTTGTTTGGACAAAAATCCCTTGTTGATGTCAGAGGTCAGAGGAGAATGGGGAGACTGGTTCAAAATGACATAAAGGCAACAGTAACTCATGTTAATATGGACCATAATCTCTGAGGAATGTTTTCAACACCCTGCTGAATCTATGCCACGAAGAATTAGGGCAGTTCTGAAAGCAAAAAGGGGGTCCAACTCGGTACTAGCAAGGTGTACCTAACAGAGAGGCTGCTGAGTGTATACAGCAATAAAAACGCTTACAAAAGATTCAAAAGGATTCTTCCACTAGAAGTTACAGAAAAGTTTTATCTCAAAAACCGTGCATCAATATAACCCTGACCATTCTGTGAAGCTCTCATTTTTTGTTAGTGTCCTTAGTGATAGACATCTGCTACGGTGAAGTTTTCTAAACCATTTTTTATTTTTGTTTACTACTTTGACTGACACTTCAAACAAGATCTAACTGATTATTTCCTTAGGGCAGGGGTTAAAATTTCGAGTCCAGCCCTCCTAGCCGGTCACAAAACTTACTCTCCACCAGTTGCCCCACCCAACCTTGCCCAGGTCCGCCCCCAACCCCACCCCCAGCCCATCCCCTTAAAGCTTATGAAATTAAATTTTTCTTTAGAATAAAGAGTCCAAAATATAAAACTGTACACAGTAATGTACAGTGGGGATCGAAAGTTTGGGCACCCCAGCTAAAAATTTGTATTAATGTGCATAAAGAAGCCAAGGAAAGATGGAAAAATCTCCAAAAAGGCATCAAATTACAGATTAGACATTCTTATAATATGTCAACATAAGTTAGATTTTATTTCCATCATTTACACTTTCAAAATAACAGAAAAAAAAAAATGGCGTCTGCAAAAGTTTGGGCACCCTGCAGAGTTAATATCTTGTACTGCCCCCTTTGGCAAGTATCACAGCTTGTAAACGCTTTTTGTAGCCAGCCAAGAGTCTTTCAATTCTTGTTTGAGGTATCTTTGCCCATTCTTCCTTACAAAAGTCTTCCAGTTCTTTGAGATTTCTGGGCTGTCTGCCACACACTGCTCTTTTAAGGTCTATCCATAGATTTTCAATTATGTTGAGGTCAGGAGATTGTGAAGGCAATGGCAAAACCTTCAGTTTACGCCTCTTGATGTAATCCCCGTGGATTTCGAGGTGTGTTTAGGATCATTATCCATTTCTACAAGCCATCCTCTCTTTAACTTCAGCTTTTTCACAGATGGCATCAAGTTACCATCCAAAATTTGCTGAAATTTTATTGAATCCATTTTTCCTTCTACTCGTGAGATGTTCCCTGTGCCACTGGCTGCAACACAACCCCAAAGCATGATTGATCCAACCCCATGCTTAACAGTTGGACAGAGGTTCTTTTCATTAAATTCTGTGCCCCTTCTTCTCCAAACGTACCTTTGCTCATTCCGGCCAAAAAGTTCAATTTTAACCTCATCGGTCCACAGAACTTGTTTCCAAAATGCATCAGGCTTGTCTATATGTTCATTTGCAAAGTTCAAACGATGATTTTTGTGGTGAGGACATAGAAGAGGTTTTCTTCTGATGACTCTTCCATGAAGACCATATTTTTACAAGTATCTCTTTATAGTGGAATAGTGTACCACAACTCCAGTGTCTGCCAGATCTTTCTGGAGGGATCGTGCAGTCAAACGTAGGTTTTGAATTGTTTTTCTCACAATCCTGCGAGCTGTTCTGTCTGATATTTTTCTTGGTCTTCCAGATCTTGCTTTAACTTCCACTGTTCCTGATGACTGCCATTTCTTAGTTACATTCCGAACAAAGGATATTGACATCTGAAAATGCTTTGCTATCTTCTTATAGCCTTCTCCAGCTTTGTGAGCGTCAGCTATTTTCAGTTTCAGTTTTCTAGACAACTGCTTAGAAGAACCCATGGTGCTGATTGTTGGGGCAAGGTCAGATGAGTCTGGGCATTTAAAACCTTTGAGAATGACATCACCTGGTCTTCCCAGACGATGATTGAGAACAATCCATGACACTGGCAGGTCTCAGCTTTGCAAAGGGGGCAGTGCATGCTATAAATTCTGCAGGGTGCCCAAACTTTTGCAGACGCCATTTTTTTGTTTTCTGTTATTTTGAAAGTGTAAATGATGGAAATAAAATCTAACTTTTGTTGACATATTATAAGAATGTCTAATCTGTAATTTGATGCCTTTTGGAGATTTTTCCATCTTTCCTTGGCTTCTTTATGCACATTAATACAAATTTTTAGCTGGGGTGCCCAAACTTTCGATCCCCACTGTATATCCCAGCTCCCCTGTACTCCATTATAGTGATATGACATGTTGTATACAGTACTTACTCCTAGTCCCTCCGAGTCCCCCGCGGCAGTGGAGAGGGTGTCTCCTCTCAGCGGAGGAGAGCGGACCTCTCCTGCACCTGTTCCCTTGGCGGCGGTGCCGCAGAAGCCGGAAACTGGAAGTTGTAAACTGGAACTCGGCTT